GGGGACTTATAATCTAATAGATAGAGCACCTATTTTAAATCTTAGAACACATATACTTATGTGAATAGGGGGTTAAGTTTCTTATATGTGAATAAGGGGTTAAGTTTTTCTTAAAGTTTCCTTTTCAAGGCCCATGCGAAGCGATTGGGGAGGTGACTCAGCTATGAATCCAGCAAACAACTGATAAGCATGGTCAGGCCGACCCATCAGGAGCCAAAACATCATCTCATCGCCTGATGACTAATTACACTATCAGGCTCTGAGGACCCCCAGGCCTGCACATAGCTGCATTCCTCACCCCAGGCCTGCCCCTTTAGAATCCTGTCCCCTGAATCTTGCTGGGAGGCAGGATTTGATGCTTGTAAGCGCCCTGTCTTCTTGGTGGGCTGGCCTTCTCAATAAACGCCCTATATGATTCAACCTGCCTTTGCTATTGGACACAGTGACTGGCGGCCGGAGCACAACGGGGGGGGTTTCCCAGTAACAGTCACTGTACAGCCCCTCCCATGCCACTCTACCTGCAGACTTACCCCACTCTTCCTGCACCTGCAGGTGGGCACCAGCCAAACCTGGCACTCGCTGGCTCCGGAACACCTGCTGCGTCGATCCCCCAGACCAGCTCTGCTTAGCCATTCCTGTGGCCTCCCTCTCCCTGCTTCCTCCGAAATCCACTCTCCTTTACTATTTGAAAGGGATAACCAGCCACAGCCTTGCTTAAAACCCTCACATTTGCTTTCATCCTATATAATAAAGAGCTAATATACTAATTAGACTCAACAGCCGAACATCCTTCAGGACAACTTCCAGACGAAGCCAGGGCTGTGAGGGTCAAGGCAAGAACGACCTTCCTGAACGACTAGTGGGCAGGGGGTGGGGGGTGGGGCCAGCTCCTAAGGAGCAGTAAGCTAGCTTCTGGTTGAGTGGCATCCCCCCTCCTCAGCTAGAAGCCCGGCTCATGGCTGGCAAGCGCAGCAGTGGTGGCAGGAGCCTCTCCCACCTCCTTACAGCCGCCTGTAAGGAGCAAGGGGTCCTGAACTGCAAGAGCCCCAGACTGCAAGAGGGCGCAGGCCGAGCTGAGAGACCCCTCCCCTCCAAGTGCACGAATTTCATGCACTGGGCCTCTAGTTTACGATAAACCTCAAGCTTTAAACTTTGGCACACAGAGCCCTAGAGCTCCAGTTTGCCCCTGGCTCCTCTTCTCATGCAGGGAGCTCCAACCACACTGGACAGTTCCTTCTTTCCAGCCCTAAGGGCACTGCATGTGCTGTCCTCCTGCCAGCATATGGGCTTCCAGGTCTTCACTCCGGCTCCTTGCAGCCTTCAGGTCTCAGCTCAAATGCCACCTCCGTCGGGAGGCCCTCTGATCACCCAGTGTGCCTCGTCCCCATGGGACTCCTTCATCTCTCCAGAGCACCAATCCCACCCTCAGACGTCCTTTATCCAGCCCTCCCCCAGTCTGGAAGTTCCCTAAAGGGAAGCAGCACAGGGACACACAGTAAGGGCTCACCAACAAGTGAGTGAACAAAGGAAAAAGAATTAAAGTATGGGTAGCAAGACCTCAGGTCACAGGTATTGTTTTGGAATTAATTTTTTAAACATCCCACCTGCCTCCCCCACTCCGAGAAATTGGCTGGCCGCAGAGTAGGCATGAACACATCACCATCTACCATTTAAGCCAGCGGTTCTCAACCTGTGGGTCGCGACCCCTTTGGGGGTCCAACGACCCTTTCACAGGGGTCGCCTAAGACCATCGGAAAACACATATATAATTACATATTGTTTTTGTGATTAATCACTATGCTTTAATTATGTTCAATTTGTAACAATGAAAATACATCCTGCATATCAGATATTTACATTACGATTCATAACAGTAGCAAAATTACAGTTATGAAGTAGCAACAAAAATAATTTTATGGTTGGGGGTCACCACAACATGAGGAACTGTATTAAAGGGTCGCGGCATTAAGAA